ATGGCCTTTTCTGATTTATCATCTGCCTGGCTCTTGGCATTGCTTTGCCCAGCCTGTGGTGCTTAACCGACTTGGGCAGCTTCCATGGAGGAGTGTCGCTGGCAAGCAGGCGGGTGTTCAGCATCACAGCTTTAAAACCAATTGTTGCTGTTGGATGGTGGTGTGTTTGTGGCTGCAACCCTGACATTTAGAAGGTTCAGGATAGGTAAAGGAAGTATCCTGGAATGGCTTTTTTGCATGTGTGAAGGGCACAACTGGTCAAGAAATACATGCCTTAAAATGGCAAAATCTTTAGGGTTTCTGTCTTTCTGTGATACACTGCTGTAAATTTTGTGTTTGCCTTTGTCTCTCTGGGGGAACTTTGGAGGAAGAACCACAGCTTCTGTTTTTCCCTTCTTGTAAGGCAAATGTAAGATAATGCTACTTTTTAGTATTGAGTCTTCCAATTCTTATGTGGTGAAATTCAGTCCTTAACAATGCTGTTATCTCCCTATCTGGCCCTGGTAAATATGAGCCAGTGATCTAGTGAAGGCCACAGAATCTCCTCAATAAACAGAGAATGTTAGTTGCTGTGGAAATCTTTAAAATGTAGCTAATCTTGCCAGGTTCAATGTAATGTTCCTTAGATGACGTTAATCACAGTAATAAGATATGGGAGAGGAGGGAAAACTGGATTTACTGTGTGGCCCCATCGGAGAGACACATGCTCCTTTCTCTAATGGTTTAACAACATCATCACAGACATAAATTTCTGTCTTGCTTTTGATAGGAAAAATGTTTCATTCCTGAATCTTGTGCAACTAATGTTTTTGGCTAACATCAGCTATCATATGTGAGTTAATGTCTGATGCATCCTCTCTTGGGGAGATGAGGTCCTGCCCTTGCAGGGACTGCGGGTTTTGTAAGTGATCTAATAAGGGTCCTCCGTATCCTCTGCCAGAGTCCTGAGCACACCGGGCTGTGGTGGGACCGAGTTCTGCAGCAGGAACCCTTGTATTTGGCAGCAAAGCTTTCTTCTCCCTGAAGGAGCTTCCTTCACCTGCTATGCTGCTACTCATGTGAAGATGTTCGTCAGTGGAAATGTTTGTTGCTGTTAACCTGCTTTTTTTTTTAAATTTAAACTGTTTTTTTTTTTTCTTTAGCCCCTATTGTGTAGCTCAGGTAACCATGCCTGTCAGTGGCGTGTTGGTCCTAGGAAAATAGGCTAATACAAGAACTGAATTTATTTTTAGTTAGTTTTTAATCTTTTCTTTAATATGATTTGTTGTCAATTAATGCAACAAAGGTTCTGTTGAGCTCCCTCAGTGTCAGGCTCTTATGA